AAAAACCAAAAAAACAAAAAAACAAAACCCACAAGAAAAAACAAACAAACAAAAACCAGTCAAATCTCCAGAGCTTTGCTGAAGACATGGGAGAAAGTTACTAATAACCTTATCAAACTCATTCACTGCCCCAGGATGAAGTGGAATGCAATAAGCTGCAAATACGTAAAAACTTAATACTCCTATCTATATCCTGCAATGCACGCAGAAAGAAGGTCCCTACTATATGAAAGGAGAGCAGTCCCAGATAGCGCAGCACAGTCTGAAGGGTCCCAGCCTCCAGCAGCTCAGGGGACAGGGCTGAACATCAGCATATGGACCCATGGAAAAGTATCTGCATGACACTGCAGAACCTTCCCCACAGCATCTGCACTGCTGCTGAACACTTCTGGAACAACTGCTTGCCAACCAAGAATCAAGCACATAAGCTGAGTGGCAGCCTCTTAATATGCAGATCAATTTATACAAGCTCTACTCCGTTATCTATAATCAAAAACGACGCTGATACTCAGAAGTTCTGAACCACACCAATCAGCCCCACACTTACACGGGAACAAAACTGACAAAGACTGCACAGATTTGACTGCATCTTTTCAGAACCCGATGTCAGTCTCACTAGGCAGATTCACAGTGACTCCTTGCAGAAGTATTGCTGAATTCAGTCCAGGAAGTACACAGAGAAGCCCAACACCTTACAAGACAACACTACTCCTGTTTGTAGAACCCAGTGATACTTTATGCTTCCTCCTTCAAGGGAAAAATGCAACATTGGCTTGTGTAAACAAATGTGATGCTAGGCAAAGTCACTTCAAACACAAAAGCCTTCATTAACTGAGAAAGATCAACCAGAACTAGCAAGCCACATGGAAGGGCTCTCTATCAGTTCAACTTCTGTTAAGAGCCTCCATTCAAAATTTCAACACAAAGCAATAAAATTTCAACTGAATATCATAAAAGGTTCAGCAAACAAAAGCATCCAAGCGTAGGCATCACACAGGCAATAAGCACTGTTATCAGATTCTGCATATCACAGATCAGCAATGTGTAGATGTCAAATCAATTCTGTAACAAGTGGTTAGGTCAGAGAAACCAAGGCTGATAACAGCATCGCACAATGAGTGCAGAGCCCATATCTATTTCTATCACATGCATAATATTTATGGCTGAAAACCCCACATCAGTCCGTTAAGTCACAGCTGCCAGACTCAGCCTTTCCTCATGGCAGTCACATGGATAAGCAGACTGCAGCCTCCCAGGAATGGGGAATCAGCCTGCTGTCACCTGCCCTAATGCCACTGGATGACCACATCCTCTTACAAGCACTACTCTTTTAAGACTGATAACAATGCCACAACACGTTCATCACAAACGTATACGAAGGCAAGTAACTGTTCCTTGAAATCACACAATTTGCCACACCCTCCACATACCCTTCTGTCTTGGTGGCTGGTAGTTGCTTCTTCAGTGTTTCTTTATCTTCAGCTTTCAAGATGCTGAAACCCAGGAGCTGGGTGGCCCCATACGCCGGGAGGAAGCCCAGCTCTGCCCGGCGGCTCACAAAGCAGTCCGGGTGGTACCAGTTATCGATCATCCCCAGCTGCGGTTTTTCAGGATGCACCATCTTCTTGGAAATCCGAATCTGGCCCTGGGGCAGGATAAAAAGACACAACAGCAATTGTTAGGCTGTTCTGGGAGGAGCAGGATGTTAGTAAGCTCATTACCAACATGATGCTTCCTGCACACCTGCTAAATGCCAATAGTTCCTCCACCAAAGCCTGCAACTATTGTCCAAACCCTTTCCTTACAGCTCTGCTGCTTTCACTAATACCTTGTCCTAGGTTGGAAAAACAGCCTATTAAGTAACTGTCTGTTGAAAAAAGAACACTTGAAACAGATAATTCTGTAGTCTTTACACCTTCAACTCCCTGCCAGTTAACCGGAATAAGCAAAGATCACATCACCAAGCCACACGGAGGGGACTCTGAAAGCTGACTTTATGTCCTTATCAGTCAATCTTTACTACAATCTCATCCTCTGCAAATTACTTTTCAGATGCCCAAATAATTACTTGGCTTAAGTGCTTTTAGACTGCAATGCCTCATGCTCCAGTAAGGGATTGTCTACAACCCAGCCAGCAATATTTCTGCAGACACAAGTATACCAGCATTGTCACATGGTCCTCACCAACTGCACAGAACTGGCAGCTCTATTCTCACCTACCAGAGGCTCACAGCTTCACTTTGCAAATTGTCTCTAAAAGTAGAGCAACAAGACAAGCTGAAATATGGGGCATTATCATTAATTAGGTGTACTGCTGTTTTTATCTGATTCATACACTGCATAGAAACAAAGAAAGAGGCTGACATCTCTGCAGTGTCTGAACAAGCAGATGACACAGTTAGCGGTGGCTCTTTCACACTTCTATTCTAACCAAGCACGCTGGCAAGCAACATTTCAGTCTGCTGTAACGTCCAAGAAGAAGGAAGCATCAGCAGATCTGAAGTCCAGGCTCCAGTGCCTGAGGGACATCTTTATGTCAGTCTTCCGACACGGCTGCTTCTCAGACCAAGAAAAGAAACTCTACAACTGCCTTCCAAGTGCAGGACATCAGGATGCAGTTAGGGAAGCTTCTGTTTGAACTGAGACTGGTGGGAGAACAGATGGATGAGATGGAGAGAAGAGAAGCTTTTTACCTTTTCTATTTTCTGCTCACAGCCTTTGCACGTACTCCTATTAGACTTGGCATACTCTGCAGCAAAGTCAGTTAGGCTCTTCTCAGCTTTGCCACCTCCTTCCTGGTCCCCTCCTTTTCCTGGAGAGCAAAAGTAAATACAGAGCTTTAAAAGGCACCCTCCCTCCTTTTTTGTTTTTTTTCCCCATCTGTTTTGGATTGTCAGCAGTCTAGATTAATAAACCTGTGTTCTGCTTCAAAACAGAGCCCCTCTCAAAATAAAAACCCTCTTCCTCTTTCAAAGTGATAACTTCCTTTTTTTTTTTTTTTTTTTTTTTTAATTATTAATACACTTCATCAGGCAGTCATCATTCTGAAACTGCACAAGCATCTGGTTTACACAGTCATTCATTGGGTTTGGTCTGCTCTGTACTTAGATCACCCCATTTCTTCCTGGATCAGTTAATCACCTAACGGCTCTATAGAGCTACCACAAACACATTCTGCAGTGGCAACATAGTAAGTACTGCATGCCAAAAGAGTATTAATACCGAAGAACTGAAAACAAGATTCAGTATTTATAACAAAAAATATTTGGCAAAATGTCTGCCGACTGCCTTGGCCTTCTTCCACTTCCCCCCCCTTCCTCTCCTGCTTTAAAACTGGTCTGAATTGCTTGCATCCTGGCTCTGGAGACTGGACAAACCACAGCAACTCTTCTGACACCGTTTGCCAGAGGGACACGGCCACTAAGTAACTCTAACAACAGCCTGAGAAGACAGAGCACGGTTCCAGCTCTGGACAGGACAGCTCTGCTTACCTCCTCCAGGGCCTCCGGTTTCAATGGCCTTCTTGATTTTCTCCTGGTCCTCCCAGCGGAGCTCAGGGAAGCCATCGATGTCCGTGTGGGACACGATGCGTGCCCGTTTCCAGAAGCAGCTGTAGTGGTGCCAGTGAGGGACTTTGCCATCAAACATGGGCGACTAGAAAAAACACAAGAGGCTGAGGTGCAGCAGTTGAGATCCAAGTGAGTGGGGTGAGGGGAAAATGAAGAGTATTTGGGTAAACACCAGCCACTGGCCTTGCTCCATAAAGACCACAAACGTGACAGAGCCCCCACGACGCCAAGGGAACACCACAGCCTACAGCAGGGCAGCACCACAGCCCAAACCCTGAAGCTCTACAGCACCCCACCCCGCCGACGGAGCTGTGCTGGGCCGACTTCGAGCCGCCGGGTCACAACCCGGCAGCGCTTCGACACCCAGCGGAGAACGGAAAGGCGGTTCGGCACCAAACACCGCGCACAAACAACGGCGGCGTTAATGACACCCGGCCACCGCTGCTTCCAGCGTGGCTCTCTGGTCGCGCACACGCCTACCCCGCGGCACCGCAGCGAGCCGCTCTGTGCGCCCGAGGCCATACGGAGAAGTTGCGGGCGGCCCAAACCTGGAGGAGCGTGGGACGCGGCCCCGGGCAGCCCGAGCAGACGGGGGGCGGCCCCGCCCACTGCCGGTCAGCATCCCTCCCGACCCAAACCATCCCGTGGTTCTGCGCGTACCTGGCACCACGATACAAGCGCAGAGCGTGGCCCGGCCGAGCCCGGCAGCGCGGCGCAGCATCCCGCAGACAAAAGGCAGAGGAAGCGGGGCCACGTGCGTCGCCGCTCCGCTCCATCGGGCGTACCGTGCGGGGTGGGCGCCACGCTCCCTGCCTCCCCCCGGGTTAGATTGCGGGCGCCCCGCGGCGCCGTGAGGCCGAAGCCCCGCGGGACGACCACAACGGGGGCCCCCGGCAATACAGCCGAGCCCCGGGGGCAGCGCCGTACCTGCACCATGAGGGCCAGGCGCAGCGAGTCCTTGGCGATGCTCTCGCCGCACTTCTTACACGACGCCCGCCCGCTCTTGGCGTATTCCGCGCGGTACGGCTTGTCCCCCGTCTCCGCCATCGCCGCCGAGCGCCGAGCCCCTCACCCCGAGCCCCTCACCCCGAGCCCAGGCGCGCCGAGCCGCGCCGCGCGCCCGCCGCAGGCAGCGCTAGCCGAGCGCCGAGCACCCTGCCCGCCCCAGCGCCCGGCCGCCATCCGACGCTCGGGCAGCGACTCGCCATGTCGGGCGGCGCCTGGAACCTTCCGGTGCGGAGCGGGGTATCAATGGAGGGGGCGGGGAGCGGCGGTCACGTGGGATGTGCCGGGGGCGGGGCCTTCTGCGTCCCTCTCACCTCGGAGGTGATAGCCTGTAGCGCCAGCAGGGGGCGCTGGCAGTACAGCCTCGCTGGGGAACGGCGCTGCGCGGCGCTGAAGTTCCTGCAACCCGTCGCCGAGTGTTTTTTCTGTTCCTTTGATGGCGACTCCGAGATTTGTGGCTCGGGGACTTCCTGCATACCATTACCCTTGGGGGAATTCTTCTTCCACGAATGTGTCCAGCGCCTCTGAAAATACTTTTTGTTTATACGGTATTTGTTTATAGGGTTTCTGCAGAGGAGGAACGTCTCCCTGGTGGTGTTCCCTCCCACTCGGGTCACTAAATTAACGGCATTCGAGGTAGGCTTGAGTGGATTTTCTTTTTAAAAGAGGATAGGAGGTTCTTCTGCAGGAATAAACTCAAACGCGGTGCTTGAAAGGATCAGACTTGAAGTAAGGCTGTCTACGCAAAGCATTACACTGCTACGATTCTAACTGCGTAGCAATGTAATTTCTTACAGTGTCTCCTTGATTTGTGGTATTGTAGTGCCCACGTCATGTTAATTCCCATCATAAATCTGTTGCTCTCCGAAGCCTCATCTCACTCTGCATCTCTGTGTCTGAAGCCTGACGTGTGGATCGTAACATATCCGTTTCCCTCTTACAAGGCAGCGAGGGACCAGTGAGCGAGGACTCATCCAGGGCCCTCAGTGATGCTGACAGCACTGTGGATGCTGTGCTTTGTTACAAACCAGTGGATGCTCTGGCGGCATTGAGAAGTGGTGCCTGCAAGGCCATTTTCCCAGGGGATCATACGTTGAAGTAAATTCAGTATTTCAGAAGCCTCAGTGTTTGGCTGCTGAATTTTACAACAAGCTGCAGCAGCAGTTAGAGTAAGATTTTTATGGTTCCACACAGGCTCTCCCCATCCCTTTCTAACAACAGACCAGTGTCAGTGGGCTGCTGACTTTTGGGATCCTGCTGGATGACAAGTGACACAAAGGCACACGAGACCTGTGGTTTGTTTTCCCCCTCTGTAACCACAGCAGGCTAGAGCCTCCAGATCCTCAGAGCTAAGTTTTGTTTATGTCCAGTACTGACTGCTGGTGCATACAATGTGGTACTTTCCAGGAAAAGTATGAAATAGAAGAAGTATGAAGAAAAAATATGTATCACATATGGGCTCCCTGCATTGTGCACAGCAGTGTAGGTGAGGAACGGCATCCAGTTGTTAGGACTGATCTGCAGGCTTCATTGTAAATATCAGGATCCATAGTACTTCCCTTAAAGCCTCCCTATCTGGAGTCATGTGATTATATAGGAATTCCGCCCACACTTTATGGCATCCCCAGCAGAATTACATTTTGACTTCAGGGCCATTTTTCACTAGATTCCTCTGAAAACCAGAGCAGAACTGAATCAAACTTGCTACCTGCATTCTGCAAGTGCAGGTCCCAGGAAGCCATAACACAGCTCCCTGTTGAAACAGGACCAAGTGCTTCCCCTTGCATTGTGCTGACAGTGCCTTGAGCACTAAATCCTCCATACTGTGCTGCACTGATCTCCATTTCTTAGATATGCAAAGATGCCTTCTGACAAGTTTTCCACCCTGTGAAGCATCTCATACAGAGTGAGAAAATGTTGGAACACTACTGTATATATCCTGTAGGGGAGCCAGAACTGTTCTTACTCAGGTCTGGATTTGTTGTCGGGGGAGACAATTTAGCACTAATTGAGAAATTTGTACAAAAAACCCTTTCAGAGCTATGTTATCCTGTCCATATGAATGATTTGTTTCTTCCATGGTGCTGCACACAATTGCTATAGCTGGTATGACCCTGTTTGCATTTAGGCAGCTGACTAGATGCAACAAGTGACTATGACTCAGATGTGCCTTCTCTCTTTGTGCAAGTGATCAACCCCCAGACCACTCCAATGGGAATGGGATGCAAAACTATGCACCCACATCTGAGTGTCATATTGTCTTGCCACAGAAGAAATGAAAGGGATTATCCTACTGTCTGGGAGAGAATGTATCTCCTACTGTGGCTCCTGTGCAAGGGTGGGTTTTTGATGCCTAGAGCTGACTGGCACTGAGAGACTTGGTTAGTGGTGACACATTAATGGTTGGATATGATGCTCCTAGTGCTCTTTTCCAACCTTAATGGATCTATGATTCCTCCTGAGCAGTCCTGAACAATTTTGCATGACAGTCCAGCACAGAACTCTCTGGGAAGCAGCTCTGATGCTTTCTCCCCTTTTAAGAAAGCTTCTTTAAATAAGCTTCTGTCTTTTTAGCATTCCAGATGCATGGGAAAATGGATGTGGGAAGAGGCGAGGAAGGAGTGGTTGGTGGAGGAGAAGCAATATTTCAAACCAACTGAGAACTTCAGTGAGCAGCCTCATCTCAGTAATTCAGTGGTAACATAACAGGGGTGTGACTTGCACATTTGGGGAAAATCACAGTCTAAGGTCTATATCAGAGAGCTCAGCACAGCCACGGTACTTTCCATAGTTAGCATCTGAATGCTTGCTAGGAACTGAGGTTATTTGCACTGACATTACCCCCAGGTAGAAATACTGTGCTACCATCCTTGTTTTACAGTCCCCATGTGGCAACTGAGACACAAATGACTATTTGATGAAATTAGAGAGTGGGAAATTAAAAAAGGGTAAGAGGAAATTTGTTCTTATGGCAGGTTAATTAAACCACGGAGTCTACAGCCAGAGGCAGGCGTTGCGGCAAAGCAATGCTGAAAAATTATTTAGAGTTCTCCTAATTGCAAACATTAAAAGGGATGTAACACATTGGACTTTGAAGGTTAAATTCATATCTAATTAATGATGATCATGAGGAGACATAATAGAGGGAAAACATGATTGTAAGTCTTGCTGGGGAGCCTTTCTTCAAGATGCTCAGCGTAGTGAGCTGGAGGTGGATGAGCACTGGCCAAGTGGGCACCTGTGGCCCTTCCTTGATTTCTGCTGCCTGTTGACATGAGCAGGAAAACCATCTCCGGGCAAAAAGCAGAATGCAGATCTCCTAATCTGGGTCATCCTGCATCCATTTGGTCAGTCCTGGGCAAAACTATGGAAGACTCTTTCCTGGGCCATCTGCTTTTTTATTTGGATGCTCTTCAGAAGCTTGTGTCCCCACTTGAGTTCCCAAGCACCTTTTTTCACCAGGTGGTGATGGTTGCATATAATGACCTTGGTGGTCTTCTCCAACTTTAATGATTCTATGATTCTTTATTCCACCACCTCTTTTAATCAGGCAAAGGCTGGACTTACATTTGTCCAGATACTCTGCAGTTCTGCCCAGGTGAGCAGCAGGATTTTATTTCTGTCCTTTGAGCATCCATTACGTGGCAAATTCCACTAATTCATAAGTGCAGCTAATGAGCAGTGGAAGTGGAAGATACCCCATAATTCACCACACTTGGCCCTTGGTGAGGAGGTGACTCTTGTTATGCTGGCAGCCACATCCTCATTGCCTCCCTTATAGGCTCTGCCTCATTCCCAGTTGCCTTCAGACACAAACCTTTCTGGGCTGTATCTGATGTATTCACAAATCTACCAAAACAAATTAAGCCACTTAATTCAGATGTCTCACATTTTTTCAGGGATCTGGTTAAGATCCCATTTACACAGTGTGTAATTGGTAATGACCAGACAGAGAGGGAGGGCTGGAAGCAGACCCCAAGAGCCCTGATCTCTGCTTTCCTAATCTCAGAACATTGTCCGCACTGAGCGCAAACCCTCCAGTGCTGCTCTAATGAATGCAAACCAGCTATTATCAGGTTGCATTCATCTGCTCTGTGCTTGTAGACAAACTGCACAAAGCACACCAGAGAGTTAAAGTGTGCCGTGCAGCAATGATATAAATTAGAGAAAGAAACAAAAGTAACAACTCATTGATAAATACATTAGCATACAAAGCAACACATTTCCCAGCAATATGTCGATTCTAAGTAAAGCTGCAGCTCTCCCTCCAGCTACAAGGTGAACTTTACAGTGGATTAGCAACCCTGGAAACTGAAGTCCCCTTATGCCAAGAAAAATGGCATGAGGGCAGTCAAGGGCAAGTTTTGCCACCCATGTCTTATTCCATGGCATGCTGACCTCCTGTTGGGTGAGAGGGAAGCATATCATCTCTGTGCTGAGGATGCATGCAGCCAGAGCTGGCCATTCTGGTTGGTGCTGCAAAGGGAACACATCCTCTCTGCAAATGGGCTGAGACCAGGTACTTCTTCCATAAGGCTTTGCACACGTTAAGGCTGACAGGAGCTACTTACAGATAAAACCAACTTTAAGTGACCTGTGGTGAGATCGTGTGGCCCTGACTTCCTGCAACACTGCTGACCATGGTTTGGCACTGTAGGGGTGATGCAGAGGACAAGCAGCTCTTGCCTGCCCAGATGCACTGGAAGCAGCAGCTGCTGCAGGGATACCATTACAGCATTTATCAAAGTGGATGGCTCCACATTTGCACACTGTTGCTTGTTTAGGGGTAGTTTGCCTTGTCCTGCTTTTGCTCTGTCTGAATAAGAGAGTTATCCCTGCATGCCCAAGAGATGAGGCTCAGTTTTGGCAGAGGCCCCAGTGCTATTCTCAGCCTCCTCAGGTCATAGCCAAGCTGCTGCATCAATGCAATCCTGTGGTCTACAGTTACATTTCAGAAACTGCTTTTGGAAAGTACGGCCCTTCTTTACAGCATCTCTTTAAAGAATGAGCCAGTTGCAGGGATCACTCCTGACTGAGATGATAATCCTCCTTTTTCATTAAGGGACCAAGAAATCAAAGACCAGCAGGAGAGATTCTGGGGTCCTGTGGTAATTTTCTTTCAGGGTTGCATCCATAGCTATATGGATACATGTAAGCTGATTTGTTGTCATGCGTACATTTATCTTAGTGACTGCTCATTAAGTGAGACCCATTATCATTACTGCTGATGGGAGGAAATGCTCAGACTCCACATTGAACAGAAAGTCTGTAGGAGAGCATGGGATATGATAGTTTTCATTATCTCTAACATCAAGAATTCAGCGACCAAAGTCAGCAGGGATGTAGCAAGCAACTTGCATTTCCTAGCCAAGGGAAAGCATATGGAAATCACTTATCTAAGGCATGAAATGCTCATGGTTCTTCCAAACAAAAATGCTGCTTAATTTAATCATCCAGCAACTAGTCTTAATTAGTTACCCTGCGTCATAATTCTATTCACATCCTCAGGAACCAAAATAGACCAAAAGATGACAGTGTATGCTTCTTGGGACAAAGTAAAAAATACATATAGCAGCACTTTGGTTTATAACAGCTCTCATATAGTGCATCTTTCACACTGCTGCTCCATCTTGGCTACTTGACACATTGGAGCTCACAGCACCGTGGCCAGGAGGATGTTGGTGCAAAGCAACCCCAGCAGATACTCCACAACCCTTGTGAGCACGCAGCTGCTCAGAGGGAGTTCAGATATGGTTGTGCTGGTCTGCAATGCTTGGTGTGTGGGGGCACAGACTGCAAGGGCAGGTGTCAGTGATGGCCTGGGGGGAAAACAAAGTCATTTTTATTTACTAGCAGTTATCCCAGCCACATGGAAGAGCAATGAGGCAGGTGAAAGGACTAGAAAATAAGCATTATGAGGAGTGACTGAGATAATTTATTTTTTTTTTTTTTCTTTTAAGTCTGGAGAAGAGGATGCTGAGGGGGAACGTCATTGATCTCTACAACTGCCTGCTGCCTCTGCAGAGAAGTCAAGATGGTACAAGCAACTGAAAGCGTGAGCTTCAGCAAGAGAAGAGCCTTGCTACAGTTCTATAGATACTTAAGAATACAGCTCCCAAGAGACATCTTGCTTTCAGTTCTTTAAGTCTCTTGTTTCACAGATGTCACTCTCATGACTCCACATTTCTGTCAGTGCTGTCAGGTGACCAACATAATGAGCCAAATTCAGAGCTGACCTTGAAGCCATAAAACTTTGACAGGATTATAGCCCATTACTCTATCTTTCGTTTTCACACATTACAGCAACCAGTTTTATGGGAATCTGTACTAACGGAATCTGTTCTTAATAGCACACATGAAATCCAACCAGAAAAACAAATGACCATCTCAGATATGACTATCACAAAATGTTGGAGTGCCCAGGGAGATTGTGAGATCTATATCCTTGGAGATATTCAAAACTAGCTGTACAAGGCCCTGAGCAAACTGTTGCTGTACTCAATTTGAGTAGAGGTCTGCAGTGGTCCCTTTTCACCTGCACCAATCTCTGACACTTTTATGAAGCCCATTAGATTCATAAGCCCATTAACAGGAAAGAAAAAAAAAAAAGAATCATTTCCACACTTGCTTGAAGGAGTGGTAATTCTCATGTTCCTGGTGAAGAATAAATGGAGCAATATGGCATTTTAATATGTTAGCTAAGGAGAAAGAATCATAAACTACTTACACGGGCATAAAGCAAAGGGGACAAATCCCGCTGGTAGTGAGCACATGTATTGACCTTCACAGGAACCGAGCCTGTTCATTATTTTGCGAGTTCGCATTGTAAGAAAAGGAATGAGTGTGAGATCATTTTTATGTGGAACTATGCAGAAAAACCCCTTTCAATTTGTGTGAATACAAGCATGGATGCCTGTGTTTCCAAGCTCAGAATACGGTGTGGTGGAGGCTGATAAAGATGTGTGAAAGGTTGCTCACCCCATCCTTTCCCTCCCCCCCAAGCTAAAAACAGACAACATGCCCATAAAGGTTATGCAGTGCCTGCTCTGAAGGGAGGCCAAAATTGCAACCATTTCCCTTCCCCTTCTCCCTGGCCTCAGCAGTTCTGTACAACTTTCTGACTCCCAGCAACTTTCTCTGCAAAACCTGTTCTCTCATTGAGTTGTCTCCTCTACAGAGGAAAGACACAAATACCAGCTTGTCTCTTTTCAATCAAGGAACATGCAGTGCCAGAGGATGAAGCATCAGATTCTTTACTTTTGATTGAGGCTAATTAGCGTTTTCTCTAAAGAACATTAGAAAAAAATACTCACTGGGTAGTCAGATTACTGGAACTCACAGCCAGAGCACTGCTGCATGAAGCAATGGAGCTGCATGGTACAACTCCAGAGGTTCTCATTGAGGGGTGAGGAGGGAAGCCTAATGAAGGCAATTTCTTCCATTTGTTTTGCAAGCAGCTCTGCTTTTAGGAATCTACCAAAAAAAAAAAAAAAAAAAAAAAAGAAAAATACAAAGCCATAATGACTGGGTGCAGTGGTCAATGCTTTATCTGTCTGCACTTAACAAGCATAATCAAAGCATCGCTACTGGCAATGAGACAAGAGGTTCTACTTCTCCAGATGGTCAGACTTCTCCAGGAAAACTCAGTTCCAGCCCAGCATCTGAGATGCAACGTAGCATTTTCCACACATCTTTTAGACAAACGTGAGTACAAGGGTCCAGTGCCTTCTCAAGCTCTATGCTGTGCATTAGTTGGCAGGCAGCTCAGCACCACACACCAGTTCACTCCCTCTCTGGGCAAAAAGATGGGAGAAAGAATCAGGAAAAAAAAAAAGAAACTCAGGTATTGAGATAACAATCAGTTAATAAGAAATAAAAGGAAACAAAAAACACAAAAACGAGTGATACACAGTGCCATTGCTCACCAACCAACTGATGCCCAGCCAGTCCCTGAGCAAAGCTAGCTACCCCCAAACAACCATCTCAGTATATCATTGCTGAGCGTGGTGTCATATGGTACGGGACATCCCTTTGGACAGTCTGGGTCAGCTATCCTGATGCTGTTCTATCCCATCTCCTCACTGGCTGGGCAGATCCTTGCCCAAGTCTTTGACTCTGTGCAAGCACTGCTCAGCAACAGCTAATCATCGCTGCACTATCTCCATTATTCTCATAGTAAGTCTAAAATACAGCACTACATCAGCTACAGTGATGAAAGTTAACTACCCTAGCTGAAGCCAAGACCCTCTCAGTTCTACTTTTATGACTGGTGACTAGTTTTACACTTGGCCAAGACAAGCTTTACATTTCATTTTAGTTCAGCTATGGGGGAATGTGCCCATAAGTCCAGGCAGAAAGATTGTGGCCTTGACATAACGCTCCTCACATATTGCAAGAGATTTCTTTTGTAGGATGAAGTGAAATCTCAGTGCTTAATGGTCACATGGATCTGTGCTGAACAGATGGAAGAGATATTGCATAAGGCCTAGTTCATGCATTCTTTGATTACTGCCTGTTAGCCTTTATCTCAGACTCTTGGAAACACCAGCTTTCTATCAAAAGGAAATGTCACCACTTTAGCTAATAGACTTTTTTTTCTTCCCCTTGCAAGAGACGCTAATTGACTTTTTTTCCAGTTGAATGCTGCTTTGAAAATGAATATTTAATGTCAGGCATTAAAGTTCCTACATTGGCTTGCAGAGGAAATCTTGACTCACACAGATGCTTGTCAAGAGACAGAAAAGGCAGACCATGCTTCCCTCCAAGACACAGAACAAGATTTGTCTTGGTGCAGCTCTGCAAGTATAGGTGATTTTATGCCTGAAGAGAGATTTTCCCATTTAGCCCTTCCTGCAAGGCTCTGGACTATGGGGCAGCCACATCCAGCAGCCATTGCCTCCAACAGCCTCACACCTCAATCAGAGAAGTGCTGCAGCTGGCAGGCTTGAGGCTTGCTCCTGTGCAGAAATCAAGGAGAGGTGCCAATTGCCAGCAATTAATATTTTGCACTTTTTTTCCCAGCTGCATAATTCCCCAGCTTTGCAGATCAAGCAAGAGACATACTCAAATTGCTTTGCATACTAAATGCTGGGAAGCAAATGGAGGACTTATAACAAAACTGTTGAACAACTTGTTTAATTTTGAGTGTCTGCTCAAGCCCCCTGACTGCAGGCTTAAAGTGAAAGCATGTGTCTTGTGCAGTAGCAACTCAAATATGAGCAGAATCAGGGCCATTTTGAGGCAGTGATCATACTACACTGTCACCTATATCAGAGCTTCCTGCCACTCCATGGTAGCCTAATAGCTAGTGTAAGACTTCCTCAAGGGAGAAGTGTTAGTTCTGTGAAGTGCCATGGATAACATGGCCCCTCCTGAAACCAGCAAGTCAGTCTGTACTGCAAAGTGTGGAGGTTTCCATCTGCCTTGAAGACAGAGAGCATTGCTTTTGTCCAGAGGAATAGCTGACCCTTCCTGCTAATCGATTAAACCCTTTGCTGTCCATGCAAATCACACCAAGAACATTTGAATGCAGCTAATTGCTAAAAAAAAAAAAAAAATAAAAATAAATAAATAAAAAAAAAAAAACAACAAAAAAACACAACTCTCATCTGACAGTTGAGGAAGAGGTGACAGTTCTTCCAAGTCATGTTAAAAATATTGCTTTAGTATGGCTTCAGTGGGAGCTGCATCCTGTGAACGCTGAGAGCAGAGTGGGACTGCCTCATCCCTGGGTGGGATTCCTAACACATGATATGCCTTGTGGTTCCCACAGCTCAGCAGAAGAGAAGCAACAAGCTCTGAAAACGTGTCTGTGTACATTAGAGGGTAGACTGATAGAAGTTATCCCTGAAGGCGTTCAAGACCATGTTGGATGAGGCTCTGAGCAATCTGATCTAGTTCCTGGTTCAGTGGTTGGCAATCCTGTCCATAAAAGATCATTACAATTGAATGATCTTTGTGGTTCCTTGCAACCCCAGCCATTTTATGATTCTACAGTATGTTTCTAAACAGATTTTCAGATTTTTTTTCCTCTATTCCTAGTCTAGAAGTCAAAAGATGACTACATTTTTTTGGTATAAACATTTGAAATGTCAAGAGGATGTAATTATCACCTAATGTTAGGAGGAAGCCCCTGAGAACAGCTGGGATCTGCTACTCTGGATATAGGAACTCATGCAAAAGGTGTCAGTGCTGTGCCTTAAAAATCCAAATTCACAGTGCATCTTTGCTTCACTGTTGAGTCTTGCTCCTGAATTTACTCTTAAATCAAACATTATATGTTAGCCTAGATGTACTTTGAATTTGTATTTACAAATTTGTATCTGTAAAGTATGCCTAGCTCACAGAATATTAAGGACAGTACAACTTGAACAGGACTGGAGGTGAAAGAAATCCAAGTGTGCCCACACAGGATATCCAGTGCACACAAGCGCTGGCACATCGACAGCCTTAGAGGAGCAACATTAGTCATTGTGTGACGGCCAAATAGCCTTTTGCTAACCTACAGCTACATCCCAACATTTTGATTCCTCTTTGCATCAAATGCTATGCATCTGAAAATTGGTTACCACTGCAATTCATCACGTCTAATGAGAGAGTAAAGCTCAAGGGGACAAGAAAGAATAAACTTACATTAACCAAGAAGGAAATTTCTCATTCATCATCCAGTGCAGGTGCTGAGCACCCTGTTGTATTGTGGGGAAAAAATTAATCTGAAGAGATGCTGCCTCACAGGTAAAGGCCAGATCCAAAATTCTGTAAAGGAGGGAGGGAAGGAGAAAGGTTCACAGACAGTAGCCTCACACAAGAAATATACCAGACTCACTAAAGCACGTACAGGATATGATGATGTGACACGCTGCATAGTCACACAGTGAAATTGTGTGCTGGAGGTTTGGAGGAGGGGATGCACTCAGGATGTGGAGGCTGTGGGCAGTTGGCACACAGCTGTTCCTGCTGCCCTTTGGGTCCTGCTGGGAGGAACATGAGCAGCGCATGCTTTGTGTGTGCAAATGTGTGTAAGAATAGCTCCAGCACAGCAGGGAGTGGTGCTGGAGCAGAGAGGAATTCCTGCTTAAAAGCAGGCTGATTTCATAGAGACCTGGTGTTTCTGATAGTTATGGGCTAACCTCAATAGAATAGATGAATAATACACGTCAGAGCAAGGAACCCTAACAATCCAGGAAGGGAGATAGAAAACTAAGAGGTGAGCTTGTTGAGCAGCTGCCAGAGATCAATGACTGGCTGGATGTTGGGAGAAATTTCTTCACAGAAAGAGAGGTTATGCATTGGCATGTGCTGCCCAGGGAGGTGGTGGAGTCACCGTTGCTGGAATGGTTCAAGAAAAGGGTAGATATGGTACTGAGGGACACGGTATAAAGCCCACAGACACAGGCTGATGGACAGAGTAGGTGATCTTATAGAACCATTAAGGTCAGAAAGACTAATTAGTCCCTTGTGCTACTGCACCAAGGCCTCAAGTGTATCCCAGGTACATCTCCTTCCTCACCACCATGATTAGCCTGGCTTAGCACAATCATCTGCTCATTTTAAAATGAAGTGTTTCCATTCCTAGTAGTCCAACGTACTCTTATCCAATAAATTCTCTGAAATTATTTGAAATTCAGTAGTGTTGCACTAAACTGAACAGCAGGCAAGAATTAATTCTCCCTTCCAGCCCTGACCTGTCGTACAGTGACTGCACACTTCCTTTCTTCGTCCTCACAACCCCTTGCATGCTCCCATTCAGTACAGCCTCCGCTTACACTGTCAGATCCCAGCCCTGGGGCACTGTTGTGATTTAATGGTCCCACTGCTGCTACATAAATATAAGGCTTTTGCTGGATGTATTTGGACTGATCAGCCCTTCAGCTGCCTTGAGGCAAGATCAGAGGAACATCTACAGTGTTTGCAGGCTGCCTCTGTCTGTACTCCTAGAAATGCTGCCCCGGGTCAGGGCTTTTAGCTTCCTTGCTGAACAGCATATTATGCCCTTGCACAGGATTTTTCTTTGTTAATTGGAAACAGTTTGATCATTAGATAAGATTCCATTAATAAATTAATATGGTCTGTTGATGAATCTTCAACTCAGTAGGTAAGGCAAAAAAAAAAAAAAAAAAAAAAAAACACAACAAAAAAAAAAACACAGTAGGATCTCTCAGTGCAAAGAGGCCACAAGCCCACCATGCAGCAGCCACAGAGGTCAAGACAGCCCAGCTTAGCCTCCTGCTCCAAGTTCTAATGGAGTTTCCTGCTGGTGACAGATCAATGGCATATGTGCCACATAAGATGACAATATTATATAAGTACAAAGTGGTAGGATTATGGGCGTGGGGGAGAAAGATCTCCTGGGGAGAGGGGACATTTTGCATCAATCACTCCCTCCCCCAGAGCCACCCACCAACTGCGGGGATTTTTCTGAGCACTCAAGATGATACGGTTTGGTATATTTCAATCAGTTTCTTACCCCATCAAAGTATGGTGGAAACAGTGCTAAAGGAAAAGCAGATACAGAACAAGTAGGGGCTGTGTAGCCTGCAACAGAGCAACAGTTATGACAGCATATGCACTGCAGCTACCATGCAAGAGACTGCAGCTGCCATCTCATGCCTCATTTCACCACACTGAACAGGCATTGCATCAAGTACTAGGTCTGCAATTAAAAAAGTGGCTGAAATCTGAACGCTAAATAAAGTAGAGAAGACCAGGAAAGGGCTATGGCAATGGGAGATGCACATTTCACCAGCAGATGTGAGGAAAACTAGATTATGCTTAAGAAGGAAGAAAGTTAATTAGAAGTGGGCTACAGCAGGGACCTTGGATCTTCTGACATTACGCTGGCCATGCCCAAGGCATGCATATCTCTGCTTATGTTGGGGCTGTGCACAAAAGCCTCATCCCTCAAGGGAGAACATGGATAGCACTAAAGAAGGCAAACACAGAAATGAGAGCGGGAAGTCTGTGGTCTCTGCTTATGCTGTAATAATCCCTTCTGGGCTATAAATCTATCATCTCTAAATTTAACAAGACATCTGAATCTGACAGCCATAAAATACATCATCTACTTTAGATATTTATCCACAAGAAGTGTATTTGATTTATTTTGGCCACCAGATAACCATAGAAACACAAAAAATATCCTGCTGGGCATGCAGACCCTCCACCTGTTTCAGCACACCTGTGCCAAGCAAGTTTCTGCAGCCCACTCCCTGCTTAGTCCCTCAGAATATGCAATTGTTGGGTTAGGTAATAAACCTGCAGAAGCTCACTCATACTGCACACAGATACACCTTGTATATCTAAGAAATCCATTCCCTACAAGCTTCGTTCAGCATCCCTTAGCTCTAGCACAAAGGGATTTAAGGAGTAACAGCTCTGCATTCATAGAGATGCACTGTGGCAAGGACCACTGGGAAAACGTGTTTTGGAAAACACATGCTTAGGGAAAGGCTCTCTGTGAAAATTCCTCCCATATAACTTCGACATTCAATGGAGGTATTTACAGTGAAGACTAATATCCCTAAGCTCCTTGTTTTGTCAGTGCAGAGGCTCAGCTTACCCTTGAGAGCAGTAACTACACCCTGTAATACTGCTCATACCTGAGCTGTCATGGTGTGCTTGGTTCATGCCTACCTTCTGTGCACAGGGGGCAAGTGGGAAAGGAGAGCTCTCTCACTATTGATTTTTCTGCTGGTCTTACACCCAGATGGCTGAGAAGGAAGCTATGGAGGGCTCAGATCTCAGCTACACTGATGAATCCTATTGGTTTATTCCTGCTTCGTTGTTACTGTGCGTCAATTAAGGCTGAAAGTTGCACTCACATGAACTAATCTTGGGTACTAGTTAACTATTCAGAAGTACTAATGAATAAATTTTTTTACTTTCTGAATTGTATTTCCACCTCTCCCTTTCCCCCACAAAGGAAGTGTTTGTTCCTGGAAAAATCACTGTCATATCTGTTTTGTGCAGCAATAGCACCTGCAGCTGTAAGGAAGCAAGCACAACATTAGGGGATGCCCTTTCACAGGCTGCATGGGAAAGAGAAAGCATGGGACAAAGATGAATTTAGTATAATTCCTCCAGTGAGGCTGACCAGGACACCCTAGTGTCTCCTGACACAGCTGCTGCAGAACCAGTAAGCACTAACCCACTCCTGCCTGATCCTCTCCCCTCTTTCAGTCACCACACTACAGAGGTCAGCACGCCTTTCAGCTGCCCAGTGCTTTTGTGCTCACCTGCCCTGCTGATGGTGTTGAGAGTCTGTTCAGAAAATCTGCTGGCCTAAACATTGCCTGCCTTGCCTCTGAATAACTCCAGAAAGCCTTGTGAGAAGCCTGCAGCTGTTGGAATAAAGATCTTTTAGAAGATACAGCATTTCGAGGAACTGCTTGCTTATAGCAAGTGGAAGAGCAATTTGCAGAAGCCTACTAGGCACATCCTTCCTTGATTGGTTTAAATTGCACAGAAAGGCAGTTTGATAATGTAGTCAATATCAAGCCTGAAAGATCTTCCACCTCTGTACAGCTGCCAGCAAACAGGTGAAGACAGAGCATGTTGCAAGCAAAACATTGGAAGAAACAACCTGGCAAACTTCATTGCAAGTTGCAAGCCCTTTTGTGTTTGGGCAGGTGGAAAAAAAAATGACCAAAAAAGTGAGTAACTTGGAAAAGGATGCTTAAGAATCAAACAAAACCAGAGTGATCAGGAACAGCCTAAAAAGAAATTCTGCACCTTAAATGAAATCCTGATTGGAAGTGGCTGAAAGTTAATGCAGAGCCTACTGTGCGAGGGCTCTTAGATGGTCACGGCCCATCAGCACAGCTCTGATAATCAATCATTTCTTCACAGGAGGCCAAGGATATGCCATGGATTGCTACCTCTTCTGTTCCAAACAGTCCACTGGATCAGGAGTGAGCCCTGGAGTACTTTCAATTGCATTGCTGCCATCTCTGCTTGTTTCCAGCAGAAGGTATGACTTTCCTGCCTTGTCTGCGCTTGGCTTTTTTCTTTGCTGTGCCAGGCTACAAACTTACAGGGCTACAGAGTTGTTAATACAACACTGTTTTGCTCCTTGCAAAACCTATCACCACAGAAAGCAGCTGTTAGATGCTCTACTGGTAGGATGGTTCTAGTTTAACCCAGCGGCAGCTCAGCACCACACTTTCCCCCTCATAAGTAGAATGAGGGAGAGAATTGGGTGGAAAAATAAGGTAGAATTTGAGAGTTGAGATAAAAGCTATTTTTTAAATACAGAAAAAGAAGAGGGGAAAAAGAAAAATAACATCAATGATAGCTATATATGTATATATATTATATATATATATATACATACATACATACATATTCTCCCCCCACCCCCCCATGTACTTCCACAGTGCAAAGTCTCATCACCTACTACCACTGCTGACTGAGCAGTGAGCCACTCCCAACAACAGCTCACCACCCACCCACTAACACCCAGCCAGCCCCTAAGTACTAGCTGGCCCTAAACAACTCCTCAGTTTTCTGGTCTTTCACCAAAAAGGCCATAGCTCTTCCTCACTAAGTCACTTTGTCCTACTGTGCTCCCATCACTCAGCAACAACCAAACCATCAGCATGCTATTAACACACTTTTTCTAGCAAGGCCAAAATACAGCATCACATCAGACACCAAGAGGAAAAATGAGCTCAGTTTCAACTGAAACCAGGGCAAAACTACATCAAGCTACATTCTCTGCAAAAGAGGGAGAAGTTTCTTCTGTGAACACCCTAAATTTTTACTTGAAGTCCTCCTGGCAGGCTCCAACAGGGACAAATACTTAAGGGAAGGAAACAGTAAACAGTATCTCTCCAACTCACTATCCTAAGGGCAAGTTCTTGTAATACAAGGTGCTGTTCCGAGGTAGACAGTAGGAAAAGATGAAACAACACATCAGGAAGCTCTCTGCCTTGTAGGTCTGCCTCTCAGCAAAGCTTTGCCAAGGTTTCCCTTGGCTAGGTTTTCCCTAGCAAGGATAGTAAAAGCACCATAAAGTTCTAAACTTCACTAGAGCTGGAATGAAAAGGGCTGGACCAGTGTGTCCTTTTCTCTCCCTGGTCAGCAGGAGTAAGCATAGATAGCAGCAGACATAGTTGCTTTCAACCCAAGAAAGTTAGTAGCCTCAATCCAGTGAGGGGAAAAGGAATCACTTACCACATTTCCAAGGATCAGAGCATACTGAAAAAGGAGGGGATCTCCAAATAGAAGTATATGCCTTGTGGCCGCCAGCCCTTAAATGAGGTTATGTTTTTCTGGTGGCACGAGTGAATTGCTCACACCTGTGCTCCCAGGGCTGCCCCATCACCAGGTGCTCAATCAGGTTCAGGCTGTGACCTAACAGTTTCTCTAAAGTAGATCAGCAGACAGCAACAAATCTTCCTTTCCCATAGGGTGCTCCTGCACCCTACCTGGCCTTTTTTTCTTAGGAGTGCTCTGCTGTGTTTCATTACCCTAGGTTAATGTGAGAAAGAGACTCACACAAACAGGACAACGGAACCCCATCCCTAGAGACATCCAAGGTCAGGCTGGACAGGGCTCTGAGCACCTGATTGAGCTGTGCTTGTCCTTGTTCACTGCAGGGGAATTGGACTAGGTGACCTTTAAAGGTTCCTTCCAGCTCAAGGTTCTCTTTTTCAGCAGCTATGAACTACTATGCTGGCTCATCCCATCTGTGAAAACACAGCCTGGAAATGTTTCACAGGTGAGAAGGGAACATACCACATTGAATAAGAACACCTCTTTTCAAACATATGTGAAATTCTGGTTGTTTAAATTCAGAAAGGCTGAACCCAAATTGGAATAGATACAAAATGGTAAAGACACAGAAGCTGATGTTAAAAGAGGAGAATGAAAGAGGCTGACTTATCTAGCTTGATGAAATGGAGACCGAAGGAGACATTAGTGTTCCCAGTACTACTTACCTGTATTACATTATAAAAACAAGACAACAATTTGTAGAAATAATACTCGACATCTCTGTCATGAAAAACTTTCATTTGAAAATGGAAAAATTAGTGAATAACAGGGGTGAAAGATTTTAGAATTCCAACCTATATGACAACAATTATGTTAGCTTTCTAGAAATGAAACTGGCCCTGTGTCCCTGCTTGAGCAGGGTGGTTGGACCAGGTGACCTTCAGAATTGCCTTCCAACATTCACCAGTCTGTGCTCTGATACATTACAAATAAATTAAAATAAAGAATTGCCAGAGCCAGAGCAGCCATAGGGATGGTGGCTCTGTGGCTCTTACCTTTGCCTCTTTGCTCCCATTCACCTCTATGGAGAGATCTTCTCTCCTTGGCAGTGACATCATGCTTAACCTGAGCTCCAGGGGATGAGGTGAGCAAGAGAGAAAAATCAGGGCCAGAACCATCAATATAGAGCTTGAGACTCAAAAATGATGTGACTGGAAGAGATTGAGAGTTGTTCCGCTAAGGGCTTCTGGACATAAGGATTTGATATGTCATTTAAAAAACGTTGTAATCAAGGTTGGCACACTCAAATCTACAATAACGAAAAAGAAAAGCCCTTTCCAAGGGTTCGCTTTCTCTCCACCCTCATGTTCCCCAGGAGAATCAATGTTTGTGGTTTGTCCTGGCTTCTCATGACAGCTTTCTTGGCAGTGAGCTTGGAAAGAATTCCTGGCTCTGCTCGTGTGGAGATGGCCTCTGCACAGAGCAAAAAGATACCTCCTCTATCTGATGGATCTCCCAGAGACAGCAGTAACAGCACTCTGCTTGTGCTTAAAGCTGCTGTCTCAACACTGCTTGGCTTTCCCAGGCAGAAGGCAGCCAAGCAGCTCTGCTCCCTGTACCCTCTGCAGATGAGTGAGCACAGAGAACAGTTTGGTGCAGTGAGTCCCTAAGGATGGACAGCGCAGCAGGAGAGAGTGGAAAGTCATCAACTTCTAATTGGTTTCCACTCTTGAGCAAGAGAGAATGGGAAATGCCGTCTGCCCCACATGGTTAATTCTGCAACCCAACTAGCAAGTGCTTCCAATTAAATGGAACCAAGTTTTCTGTAATTAACATTAATTTCCATTAGGATGACACCACAGAGAGCGCATTCCAGATCTCTTGTCTCTGTGCAGAGGACTAGGCACCCCATTTGTGCTGCTCTGTGGGACTAAAGAGCCCTTGCACTTTGCATAGGGCTCACACACCCCCCCTTGAGAAGGCTGGCACAAGGGTTAAGGGCTGCACCAATCATTTCTGCACTGAACTTTAGGTGCCCAGCTGTTCCAAGTCTTTCTGACAACTTGGCAGCACCCTCTAAAACCTTTCCAGGCTGCCAGGTCCTTCTCTTGGATCCGGTTCGGTGCTTTGAGTGCCCTTGCACACTGTCTGTGCAGATGTGGAGGAATACAGCTGTGTCAGGTGAAATTTAGCAGACTAAACAAGCATTTGGACACTCAGTGGAAATATTTCCTTTTGAATTATTGTGAAGCAAGAGCAAGAAGAAATATCACAAGATGAAAGAAGAGTGAAGATGAAATCTCCAACTTGAAAAAAAACTTCGACAAAGTGGCTTGAATATTTCCAAGGCAAATGCAAACCTCTGGGTCACCTTACAGCCTAGAGGATGAAGTAGAAAGGATTGTGCTGCAAGTATAAATTCCCCTAACTGAAATGCACAGAAAACTGCCGTATCTTCATTTGCAGGGGTCTGTTGTTTGCCTGCTTCTAAGGAGGTAATTGCTCACACCCTGATTTTCCTAACATGCCTGCTGGAGGTTTAGGTGCCTCATCATCGAGAAGGCTGGGGAGGCAGAAGTGACACTCATCTTTGCTTTAGGGTTCTGTCAGTATTATGGCTCATGAGGATGAGTACCTTCAGGGAAGTAAATTAACTTGAGACCTCTCTGGCCTTCTGTTTAGCTGAAGCATGCTCAGTAAAGTAGTACCCGAGTGGAGAGGAATTGAATTCAATACAGAAAGAAATGAGTATGAGTAAGAGTGAGAAAGCCTTTGTATTTTTTTGTGAAATAATGAAAATCCTGGTGTAATAAATAAGTATAATCAAATTTTCCTCCAGCGTTCTGTTGCTATGATTGCTTTTCTGTCAATAAACACTAAAGACTATGTTCCAGACTAACACAGAGAAAAATGAAGGTCTTTTGAATGCTTTGTGTAAATAGGGGATATGAGAGGACGGGAAGCTATGTCTATATCAGGCAATTATTTGTCACCGATTACCATAGTCTCAAATTCCCTGACCCTTTCACCATAGCTGCAAGGACAGGCAATGCTGCAATCCCCATTCCATGGGGGAGAAGCACAGCAGGGAGACGGGGGTCTGCAATGCAGCACTTGAGCACTGTGCTCCATCCCTTCAGCAGCAATGCTCTGCAGGACAGGGCCAAGACGTGGTGAGAGGTGCTTGATAAGACCTGTCTTTGCATTTTGCTATCTGATCCCCACAGCAGGTTAAAGTCATGTCAGAAAAGTACAGAAAAATAGAAGAACAAAAACAATCTGCTCAATGATAAATAAAACGTCGAGATCCATTCTGCTATTCTGCTTTTTGCCATAGCTCAGTGCTCAGTGCTGTACTTCAAGTCAATGGAAGTCAGTGAATTCCCACTGGCTTGCTTAACCAGGCTAGACCCAGAGTCAGAGAATTTCAGCCCCTCTTCAGTCTATTGAACTCACTGACCCATTTCAGTGCTTCAGAATGAGTTCAGAGCTCTTGGTGCTGGTAGGAAAGGCAATAGCTTAGAAACATTTCCTCCTGTTCTGTAACAGCTGCAGCAGCTGTTGGAAGCAGCACAATTTCAACTCTATTTTATTTCAATATGCTTAATACCTGTCCTTGTTGGTTATTCAGAGTATATACGTAGTGCTATGGCAGCTTTGCAAACTGTGAGGAGAATCTAAATATCAGTCCCTCAGTATACGTCAAATTCAGTGTTAAGGCATTTGCTCAAATATATTACCTGAGTATTTGCTTGAATGAAGATATGAATTAGTCTGGCTTCATACACTTTCCATTCTCTTATTAATGTTCTAGAAAATGAAAATTCTGATATGTGTTTGCATTGGCACAACTTTTAAATTAATTCATCCAAACAAATACAGCCCCCAGCAAAATACCTAAGTTCAACGATCAACCCAAACAGATCAGAAGTCCCCGAGGATCATCACGTCCCATCAGCTCCCCCACAGAGTTCAAGCAGAAAGCAAGCAAAATACCTGGAGACAAAGAATCACTCTAGAGGGATAGAGATAAAAAGCATTTACTCCCTCTGAGATTTTCAAGAGGACTACTTGTTTGTTAGAGGAATTTTTGCCACATAAACTCGTCCTTTTAAACTGAACACTCAGCATAAAAGCCAGTCATCGTGTGAATTACCACCATGCAGTAACATCCCTGGAGACGCTCAAGAAAAGGGTAGGATGTTGCATGACATGAGTCATGTTGAGTGACATGGTTTAGTGGTAAGGTGGTTGGACCAGAGGCTTTCCAACCCTAATGGCTATTGTTTTCCATAGCATACATAAAGAAATTTGTAGGTTTATATAGAGGTCAAGTGTTGCCTAAGTAAGAGACCAACTGCACAACTACACTGAAGTAAATACCTAGATCTTTGCTGACTTGTACAGTTTTCACATATTCTTTCCAGAAAAGTATGTTACAATTATATTTAAGTACATTTTGCATTTATTTTAATGGCATATCCAATTAGGAGAAAAAAAGTAACTGAATGCCTCATTTCATTAGGCCGTGGAGCACCTATGAGATGAATGAATATTTCCATCCAAGGAGCACCTACGGGTTGAAGCGAACAATTCTATACTTCGAGGTCTCATTTTCCTTTCCCCAGCTTATTCGTAGGCTAATCTAAGGGGCTCAGAATCACTTGGCTAAAGCTTCCCTCATTGACAAGAGCTGCAGCAGCCCTGGCTGGCAATCTGTAAGCAAGATACTCAAGTGTCATTCCAAGTCTCACGTGATCATTAATTAAGCTTCCCCCACTTTCCTGCAAATTAGGTTAATTCAGAAAAGGCCATTTTGCTTATAGTAATCACACACAAATAGTCTTAGTTTCCATGCGCTCTTCCTTTCTTCTCCACACTCACACACACACACACAAAACTAAAAAGGAAGAAAAAAAGAGGAAGAAAGAAAAGAAAAAGATTAGGAAATAAAACAAGAAATGATTGTGGCTGTTGGATCACTTTGCTCCATAGCCCACACTGACTACTTGTGTTATAAATAATTGTTTGGAGATGCCACTGATCTACACTCAAGGCAGAGCTTACTGCAGAGTTGATTTATTCTTTG